CTGTCCACATATATTTCAATAACCACGGCAATACTTCACTCAGTCCATTCCACATACCAAAACACCCCACCTTCACTTGGTTATCATCGACCGAGAGTGAAGAGAAAAGCTTGAGCTGCACCATATAGCCGAGAGTGAGGGAGGAAGTTGAGAGCTGCAAATTCCAATTCTGGTGCTGTCCGCGAGTTGCATTTCCCCTTGTCTTGTCCGTAAGCTGAGGGAGACACCAGAGAACCATCACCACCTTCGATAACCTCAGACCAACACCACAACTGCAACCTTAACCACTCTGCACCTCGCCAATTCCAGCCGCAACTCACTGAACCAGGACCACTACCCTGTCGCGTGCTTGTGAGCCGAGAGGAGGAAAACATTTTCCAGATTTTCGTGTGAAAGCTTGACTAGTTGTGAGGTAATTTCTGGATCATTTTAGGATTAATCTGAGGTAGTTGGAGTTATCTAGTAATATGTATGTGATGTTAGAACATTCGGAAGTTGAATGGAATCATTAGAAAATTCTGTTTTGAATGATGAGGTACCATCCGAAAGCTGAGATGATAACGCACTCCAATTCTGATTTCCTGTGATGATTTGAGCACTTAAGTGGATTTAGTCAAATGAAAATGTGATGATTTCTATTTTGCATGCTGATTTGTACCTTCGGATGGCATAGTGAAGGCCTACAAAAAAATTTGGTTATCTATAAAGCTCCTGCCGTGAGCTTGATGCACTTGTTTTATTTTGGCTGCTGAATGGGTCTGAGTTTGGACAATCTGAGCATGAATGATGTTTATCTAACTGGATTTTGGATGATTATCAGGATTAGAGTCTTGCATGTGTTAAATTTCGCAATCAAATGGTGAAAACAAAGCTGTGGAAAATTCTGTCTTGGTTAGAAAATTTTGCCGTGAGCTTGCTTGGGGTAGTGCAGCTTAAATTGGTTTTGATTTTTGTAATTTGGGCTTATAATCATAATTATATAGCTAATAATGAGTACTTAGGCCCTGCATGTAGCTAATTAGTTGTTAAAACAGAGGAATAAAAATTCAAAAGTGCAATCTGCCTTAAGGCAAGATCATCCGGACCAAACAGAAAAATTTCTGGAAATTTTGATGGTTATGGATATTATTTGAACTTGATTTCTGAGCTGGAAATATTCATATGCTAGCTTGATACGTGCATAAGGAATTTAAGAGTTTATAAGCATGTCCAAACCAGAAAATGAAATGAAAATAGAAAGCTCTTCACGCATGATTCAACCGTGACTAGTAGGGAAATTTTCTTGTGGTTGCCAAATGTTGAGTTGAAATCTCAACTTTGATTTTGGAATTTTTCTGGGATTTATAATGGTTGAAATGCCTGAATTGTACAGTTTTGTAGTCCACAAGAAAGGTATGGAGGGTTGAATAAAAACATTTTGGTGAAAAAAGGGGAAAAGGAATCTTTCCAAGTGAAAAATAAAAATTCCAGATTTTTTTTGGATTTCCACTGACCAGTCCCAGTAAAATGTATATAACTTGGTGTAGGAAAATCAATTTAAGGCGCCGTCTGTGGCATTGGAAACTAGAATCACAGGTCTTTGTCCTGTAGAAATCTCGTATTTTTCCTCTATGTGTACTGCTGCCAGTGAATTCTTAAAGTGGACTGTTTTGGGTGAATATCCTATTTCTTTGTGAAACTGGATTTGGATTCGGATTAAGATTCTTGTTTACTTGTGGTTTAAATTTTTGACTGAATCGTGATTGGAGTTAATTAATGTTGCCAAGGGCTAATAATTGATGAAGCCTTGGGCCATTTGAATGATTTTTCAAATATTATAGAATGATGAAAACTAATTGCTGGAACGCCTTGGAGGCTTTATTTTTATTGTTATCTGCTCATAATGGGTTTGTTGAAACCAAGTGCTAATGATTGATGAAGCCTTGGTTGTTCAATTTTATTTTACTGGAAAAGCAATTGTTGAAATCTAGAACTAAGGATTTTCGAAGCCTTAGTAATTTGCTAAGTGAGATTTGCCATATCTTACTCTATAAGATGATTTCGGAATAGAATCGGAGCTATGGAAGCCGTTTTGACCTTACGTACCTGAGTAACCATGATCAATTGAATCAAAAATATTTTCCTTTAGCTCAAACTAGCCTTGATAGCTATAGTAAATAAGTGCTATAGCTTTTGAAATCTAGAAGACTTATTTTAATTCTTTTCTTCCCTTAAGCTTTGCACTTGGATAGCTCACTATAGAAAAAGTTCCAAAACACAAGTTTTATTAATTTTAGTAAAAAGTATGGGAAACTTGCTCGGCAAGAAACCCTATTTTAGGAAAAGTAGTTGTTGGAAAAAAAAATCTTGCAAAAGCCATATTTTCATAGAAATGTTCAAAATAACTTCCTTACATTGAGGTTAAGAGACTGGCCGACTTTTCAAGGAAATGATACTAAGTATGTTTTAAGGAATAATACCTAGAGGAAAACTATAAGAGATACTTCGATCATTTTCGTCAAGCCTCAACCTAAGTAGAATTTTGAATCTACTACAGGAAAATAAACTAGTAATGTACTAGATAAACCTTGATGGTTATAAGCCTAAAAACTGAATAAAACTTATAGTCTCAATATTTGATGTTCTAGGATATTGCGAGGACGAGGAATTCGATTCCCAAATTTGACATCTGAACTTCACTCTTGGTGAGTGTCCCTGCCTGTTCTATGCTTACTTGATTAAAATGCTTCCTTGAATCCTGCTGTTCTATTCCTATCTGATTGAAATGCTTCCTTGAATCGAAATATGATATTTGCAAAAAAAAAAATTGGTTTTGAACCATCGAAGTGAGTGGTGTGTACTTTATCACACTAGCCGTTCGAGTGGTGATGAGAATGAAATATTTTTAAGAATCCAAGAATCCATGAATCCAATTGTAGTTGAGTCGCTGGGTGAATCCCTCGACATGTGAATCCAACTACCATAACATCTGAATCCGTGAATCTAAATGTAGTTGCGTCGTTGGGTGAATCCCTCGACATCTGAATCCAACTACCAAAACGTCGTTGGGTGAATCCCTCGACAAATTTATTACGGGTATATCTCGAGTACACTGCGTCGGTAGATGAAGTTTGGGCCCAAAGCAGAGGTATGAATGGTGACGGGTTAGGATTAAAATAAGTGTATCTACATGGAAATTAAGTAGGGAAAGTTGACGGAGGGTCAACTACGATGGTATCTGATCAAGCGTGGAAAATGGCTCCTGAGAGCCCCTGTATCCTACCCTGTGTTGTTACACGCTTTTCTAATTGCTTAATTGTTTAAATTATTATCCGTTGTTTGATTTATGTGACTGCATGTTTTGGGGCACCACTGAGCTTTAGCTCACCCCACGTTTATTGTTTTCCTTAACAGGTTCTGGAAGTTGAAAGCTGGAATGCTTGCTTGTATTTCCTTTTGGGTTGTATTGAAATACTATAACTTGTTTTGTGGGCTGTAGTATGTTATTTGGAATAATGTACTTCTTACTTTGAATTGCCACTTGAAGCTAGAAAATGTGTAAACCCTAACTTGGATACCTAGTGTGTAAGTTGTAATAGGGATTTACGTATTTATCTATTCTGATTTGTTTGACGTTATATCTTGGTTTGTAAGTTTGGATTACTTAGAATTGTGAAGATCTATCCAGTTTGGTACGACTGTAGGCCGTGGTGCGTAGCATGCGTAACGTTTAAGAGCCTCGTCTGGCTAATTTTGCTTATATATCACTGTTGTCTCTGAAGTTAATGTGAATTTAAGGAAGATCTTATTCGGGAAAGATTTGTGTTGTAATAGATTAGGATATTCTTCGAAAGGATTTGGGTTAGAATGCTTGCTTGAGTCCTGGCGAGAGCTGGGCAGACGGCCCGCCAACCCTTTGGTTCGCCTCAGGGGGAAGTGGGGTCGCCACAGGTGGTATCAGAGCCTAGGTTAGAAAAGTTATTCAAGAGATATAGTAGATGTGTTAGAAACCTTAATCCTCTCTAGAAATAAGAATGAAGACCTTAGAACTACCTTAAGTGATATTCGATTCAGTTAGTTATTCAAGTTCTAATCTTTAAGTCTTGATGGCTTTGCAGGTATGGAGAATGGAAACGGACATGCTAATGGGGGTAGTACGGCTAATGGACATGCAGAGCCACTTAGATCCATCTCATATAGGCCCCGAGGTGGAGGAGACCTCGTTCGATATTCACGGCAGATAGGCACCCTAGATGCGAGTGTAGGGCCATATACGCGTACCCCAACGCGTTAGTGTTATCCCTTGATGATGAGCGCCGCCACTTGAGGGACGCTAACTCCATCCTGATCCAGGACGTGGAGGAGCTGATGATGGTAGATACTCAGTTTGATCGCATAGCTGATTTGGAGATTAGGCTCACTGCTGAGCATCACTTGCTAGAGGCTGCTCGACTAGAGATAGCGCGCCAAAGGGCCAGGGCGACTCGACTGGCCGAGAGGATGCGTGATAGGAGTATGGGCATCAGGGCTGATGCCTCGATGATGATGGATGAGGCCGCTAGTTTCATTCAGGGTAGCGAGCCGGCTGGCGTCGAGGAGGATCCAGAGGAGGATCCAGAGGAGGACCCTGAGAGGACCCGACTGAGGACATTACTCCGGATAGCCCTACTCAGGGATAGATTAGGACCTACCTGTTTATACTAGCTATAGAAGGTTAGGCTAGGGACATTAGTAAGCCGTCAAGTTTTGTCTAGGTGGATGACTTACCTTCGAGGCACTATATCCCTAATTTTTGTATAAGGGATTAGCGGTATATATTTTTGTTAACTTAGGTGCCTTACTTTTGGAAATGTTCAACCTGTTATTTGTATGACTTTTATGTGGAAATATATGCTAAGTATTTTATTTCCTTTTTCCTCATTTTCGTACTGGCTTTAGTTACCAAAAAGGAGTAATAATAATCATAATAAATAACACCTTCGCTTAATTGCTTCATCCTCCTGTAATAGGCATCATAGACTATGGATCGCCAAATGGTAGGAAGAGGCCGTGGGAGACCCACTAGACAACACCCGGAAGCGGGTGGTGATAGGGAACCCGAGGTCAACCAGGACCAAGGGCAAGAGGGCGTGGCCGGAGACCAAGTGGCCACTGCAATTAACCGTATCACTGATGTCCTAGAGCGCTTGACTGAACGCCAAGCCACTGGACCAGTGCATCAACCAGGAGGCCCAGTTGATTCCGATGATCGGGCACTGGAAAGATTTCTGAAGTTTGGACCTCCTAAGTTCTATGGAGGACCCGAACCGGAAATAGCTGAAGGATGGTGGGAGAGAATCTCCGACATCTTTGCAGCTCTAAATTACACAGAAGAGCGACAGGTGACCTTTGCCACCTTCCAGTTCGAGGGAGCTGCTCGCTCTTGGTGGAACTTGGTGAGGGTTACTTGGGAGACCAACCATACACCAAGGACTTGGGCGAACTTCACAAGGGAGTTCAATGCCAAATTCCTTCCACCACTCATTCAGGAAAAGAGAGAGGATGACTTCATCAGATGCAAACAAGGGGCGATGAGTGTCGCCGAATATGAAGTCCAATTCACCAAACTATCCCGCTTTGCGCCTGAGTTGATAGCCACCGAACAAAGGCGTGTTCGGAGGTTTGTACAGGGTTTGAATGTGGAATTTCAGGAAGGTTTAGCCGCTGTGAGGATAAATACTTTCGCAGATGCTGTCGAAAGAGCTCAAAGACTTGAGGTAGCTAGAGCCCAAGTGAAATCTTTTCAGTCTAAGAAAAGATTTGCCCCTAGTAGTAGTCGGGAGCCGATTTTTGGAAATGCCCCACCGGCCAAAGTAGGCCGAGGAACCGGTGGAGTGATTAGACCTGGAGCACCGCGAGGCGCTTTAGCAAGAGGAAATGGGGCAAGAAATGCAGGGGGAAGACACAATGGTGCTAGAGGGGGACCTATTGGAAGAGGGCAATCTAGGAATAATTCACAAGGAGGTCGAGCAATTACTCCTCCATCGACCTGTACTTATTGCAAGAAACTTGGCCATACTATAGACAACTGCTGGAAGAAGCTAGGAAAGTGTTTGAGATGCGGGAGTAGCGAGCACCAAATGGCTGGATGTCCCAGGGTGCAGGAAGGGATTACTCCGAACGCAAGACCAAACAATTCCGGAGGAAGCCGGCCGACAGTTCCTGGCCGAGTGTATGCCTTGGATAACCAGCCCGTGCCCAATTCCTCGGAAGTCGTGGAAGGTACACTCCCGATTTTTCATCGTCTAGCTAAAGTGTTAATTGACCCTGGTGCAACGCATTCATTCGTAAATCCATCTTTTATGTCCGGAATAGAAGTGCAACCTGTTAGATTACCCTACGATCTTGAAATTAGGACACCAATGGGTAATAAGAAGGTAATCACTAGTTTGACCTATAAGAATTGCGAATTTTGGATTGGAGAGCGAAAAATGCTAGTGGATTTGATTAGTTTGGACATAAAAGGCTATGACGTTATCATAGGAATGGATTTCCTAGGTCACCATCATGCTAAGCTTGACTGCCGAGAAAAAATAGTGGAATTTTGTATACCTGGAGAAGCAACTCTGAGGTTAGACGTTAAGGGTAGGTTAGCATCTTCTGCTATGGTCTCGGGAATACGGGCAAGGAAAATGTTATCTAAAGGAGCTCAAGGTTTTCTAGCATTCTTGATTAATACTCCCAGTGATCAAGTAAAATTAGAGGATGTACCCGTAGTACGGGATTTTCCGGACGTCTTTCCTGAAGAACTAAAGACTTTACCGCCAAAAAGGGATGTGGAGTTCAAAATCGACTTGGTGCCTGGAACGGCTCCAATCTCTAAAACCCCATATCGAATGGCTCCTGCCGAGCTTAAGGAGCTGAAGATCCAATTACAAGACCTGCTGGAAAAAGGTTTTGTGAAGGAAAGTGACTCACCATGGGGAGCACCCGTTCTATTTGTCAAGAAAAAGGACGGAAGCTTGAGGTTATGTATTGACTACCGAGGGTTAAATGAGGTTACCATTAAGAATAAATACCCTCTACCGTTGATTGATAGCTTGTTTGACCAACTGCAAGGATCAGTGGTCTTCTCTAAATTGGATTTAAGGCAAGGGTATTACCAGCTGAAGATTAAGAAGGAGGATATACCCAAGACTGCTTTTAGCACAAGATATGGACATTTTGAGTTCGCAGTCATGCCTTTTGGTTTAACTAATGCACCAGCTGCATTTATGGATTTAATGCAGAGGATTTTTAAGAAATACTTGGACCAATTTGTCGTAGTTTTCATAGATGATATTTTGATATACTCCAAGACTCAAGAGGAACATGTTAAGCACTTGGGGATAGTATTGCAAATATTAAGAGAGCATAAACTATATGCAAAATTCAGTAAGTGCGAGTTTTGGTTGGCGGAGATTTCTTTTCTAGGGCACAAGGTCTCCAAAGATGGAATTGCCGTGGATCCGGCAAAAGTTGAAGCCGTCATGAATTGGAAGCAGCCAGGAACCCCAACTGAAATTAGAAGTTTCTTGGGTTTAGCAGGTTATTATAGGCGATTTATCCAGGATTTTTCAAAGATTGCAGGACCTATGACTGAGCTAACCAAGAAAGGGAATAAGTTTATCTGGACTCCAAAGTGCGAGTTAAGTTTCCAGGAGTTAAAGAGACGTTTAACATCCGCTCCTGTTTTGGTGTTACCTGATGGAGAAGAAGGTTATGCAGTGTACTCCGATGCCTCTGGAGAAGGCTTAGGATGTGTTTTAATGCAAAAGGGTAAAGTGATTGCTTATGCTTCTAGAAGATTGAAGCCTCACGAACAAAACTACCCAACTCATGACTTAGAGTTAGCAGCAGTGATTTTCGCCTTAAAGAAATGGAGACACTACTTGTATGGCGTAACTTTTGAAATTTATACGGACCACAAGAGCCTCAAGTACTTGTTCTCCCAAAAGGAACTAAATCTGAGGCAAAGGCGATGGGTAGAATTTTTGGAAGATTATGATTGCTCGATTAACTACCACCCAGGAAAAGCCAATGTGGTAGCTGACGCTCTAAGTAGAAAGGCCCAAGTGGCAGGGTTAATGGTCAAAGAGTGGGACATGCTAGAAGAAATTAGTGGTTGGAACCCTCGCTTGGAGAAATTGAAGGTATTATTTGGGAATCTTTCTTTGAAATCCTCATTATTAGAGCGTATTAAGGAAGCCCAGAGAACGGACCCTACGACTCAGAAGAATTTGGAGAAAGTGAAAAAGGGAGAAATCCTAGATTTCAAGTTAGGGTCTGAAGGAATATTGAGATTCCGAGATCGAATTGTGGTTCCGACAGATGACAAGTTAAGGAAGGAGATCTTAGAAGAATCACATCGATCAAGGTATACTATACATCCAGGTGTGACCAAGATGTACCATGATGTGAAGGAATTATACTGGTGGGAAGGTTTGAAAAAGGATGTGGCTGAGTACGTGCAGAAATGTTTGACTTGCCAACAAGTGAAAGCCGAGCATCAGAAGCCCTCTGGTTTACTGCAACCGTTGGAAATCCCTGAATGGAAATGGGATCATATAACAATGGATTTCGTAACGGGACTGCCTAAGAGTCAAAAAGGATTCGATGCAATTTGGGTAATAGTTGATCGACTCACTAAGTCTGCACATTTCCTACCTGTAAGCATGAGTTTCTCATTGGAGAAATTGGTCAAGTTGTACACAGAAGAGATTCTAAGGTTACATGGGATTCCAGTGAGTATCGTGTCTGATCGAGACCCAAGGTTTGTCTCACGTTTTTGGCAAAAATTTCAAGAGTCTTTGGGGACTAAGTTGAAATTTAGTACTGCGTATCATCCCCAAACCGACGGGCAGTCGGAAAGGACAATTCGACCTTGGAGGATTTGCTAAGGTCGTGTATACTGGATTTTGGAGGTAAATGGTGTAACTATATGACCTTAGTTGAATTTGCGTATAATAACAGCTATCAAGCCTCAATTCAAATGGCACCTTATGAAGCTTTGTATGGGAGAAGGTGTCGATCTCCGATTCATTGGGACGAAGTTGGAGAAAAGAAGATGTTAGATCCTACAGCTATACCTTGGATAGAGGAAGCCCAAGAGAAAGTGAAACTAATTCGAGAAAGGCTTCAGATTGCCCAAAGTAGACAAAAGAGCTACGCCGACACAAGGAGAAAAGATTTGGAATTTGAAGTAGGAGACAAGGTTTTCCTAAGAGTTAAACCCTTGAAAGGCGGAGTAATATCTAAGAAAGGAAAGAAGCTGAAGCCAAGGTATATCGGACCTTTTGAAATTGTGAAGAAAGTTGGGAATGTAGCATATCAGCTGAAATTGCCTGCAAGCATGGCTAAGATTCACGATGTATTTCACGTTTCCATGCTTAGGAAATATTACCCTGACCCAAGCCATGTGCTGCAACTAGAAGGAATTGAGGTGGATGAGACGTTAAGCTATGAAGAAGGACCAGTCAAGATTTTGGAAAGAGAAGTGAAGGAGCTAAGGAACAAGAAAATTCCTCTGGTAAAAATGTTATGGAAAAATCATGGACTGGAGGAAGCGACTTGGGAATTAGAAGAAGAAATGCAGAACAAGTACCCTAATTTATTTCTTTAGAAAATGTAAATTTTGAGGACAAAATTTTTGTAAGGAGGGGAGGATGTGAGAACCCTGAGAATGCATTCATAAATAAATAACATTTCGTATTTCATTTGCATTTCCTTTACTTTTATTTACTTATTTACTTCTAGCATTTCTTTTGTTTTTGGATTTCAGTTAAGAATGTAAAAATTGTAACGCCCCCACTTCTCCCTAAGGCGAACCAAAGGTATCCGCGGGACGCCTGCCCAGCTCTCGCCAGGACTCACTACAATCCATCATTCAAAAGCTCGAAATACTTTAAGTAACTTCAATACATAATTAAAGTACTCCAAATATCTCACACTTACAATTATGCAGCTTCCAAGCTTAAATACAACCCAACGGAAAGGTACAATAGCCATCCGTTATAATATAACTTAAAGTTTTCAAAAGAAAACAATCTAGTACTACTCACGAGCACCCTTGGTCTCGAACCCTGTAAAAGAAAACCACAACGTGGGATGAGCTACACAGCCCAGTGAGGTTCCAAGACACTCTAACAGTTCAAATAAATCAAGTAAGTTGGGCATATCATATGCATGGTTCAATGTTACACAATGGCGTGTTATCATGAGTGATAATCATTGTACGAGTAATTTGAGACATTTATCAGGGTATGACATTTATCATGAGACAGGTATCATGATATAAGTACATTGTCAGGTAACAGGTATGGAGCGTATCACAGGCATAGTTCAGGATTTCATGTTGACATTTTAGCATGAAACAATTATCATGATACAAGGTAAACATATACGGTAGGATACGGTGTCCAGTGGAATTCTGTCGGTCATCTGCACCTTATGACTTCTGATCCCCACGGTACGGTCTGGTCATCGCCTTATCCCTCCAGTGGTAATACTCGAGTATACCGAAACGGTGGCCCAGGGTTCCAACCTACCCGACCGAGCCCAGTCCTGGCTCGAGTAGGTCAGTAACCAAGGGCAGGGCCCAAGTTCAGCTTAGAGCTTACAACATGCACAGGTAACCAAGTAATTCGACAAAAGGTAAAATTCATCATTTGAGTAGGTCGAGTGAGGTAAAGTACACACTCGCCTAATAATGATGGACAGCTTCATATAACATGTGATTCATGATAATGAAGTAATCAGGTGGTCAAGAACCAAGTAAGTTGGTGATCACGTAAGCAGATAACCAAGTAAGCAAGTAACAAATAGATTAGAAAACGGTAAGTAAACACGGTTAACGGTAAACGGTAAACGGTTAACGGTAGTAATTACGGTTAATTGGTAGACATATTCATTTCAATAGGCCGCCATTGGCCGTTTTTCACTTTCACCACGTAAGAGTCGAGGAGATTTACTCCAACCGACTTATGCTGTCATAGCATAATTAATCATTTAAACACATCATCAAAATATGCTCTCCAAACATTTCATATCTAGTATTTCAAGTAATCACATAAGTATGCTCTTTAAGCATTTCATATCGAATAGTTCAAAATACCTACTTCAGGTGTTTCATGTCGAGTAATTCAAGTATACATTATTCAAATGTGCATGAGTGTGGTAAATACTTAATGACCATGGGTTAAGCATGTCATAGACTTATTCCAATTACGTATTCCTATATGGAACACTCACCTAGTCAAAACAAGCGAGTAGTTCTTAAACAAGCGTCTTAGGTGTCCGCTCCGAGTTCCTCTGGGAGATTCCCTCGAGTGCCTGAGCAAACAATAATCAACTACCACTCAAAATCATTCTAATTATCGAGGAAAATTGTACACTAGTACAATCTAAGAAATTAACGCAGAGACGAGTCTAAGAGTTCGTGTAACTCGAGGTTCAAAAGTGGGTTTTAAAATACAAGACAAATCTGATTTCCATCTTTGAAATCAAATGTAAAACGATCAAATGATATTGAAGGAAAATGGAGGGTTTGAAACCCTTAG